ATTTTTTAAATTTTCTCTTAAAAAACTTTGAAAATATATTTACTAATATAAACATTACAATGGAATAAAAAATTATATATGTTGTTTTGAATTTTTTACAAATAAAATGACTGCACTCATATTTTATTATTTAATATTACCAAGTTGATAACAAAAAAGTTAATTCTCTATCTTAATTTATTATTTTATTTCTATGCTGCTGACCAAGTAAACGAAGTAGCTGTTTGTTCCCTTCTTCAATTACAGAAACAATTTCTTTTTTCGCGTCTTTTTTTTTTGAAATCTTCTTCTTCGGCATCTTCATTCTCAAAATCGTTTAAAGTTTTTGCAATATTTTGCAGTATAAAGCATGCATTGATACATGTAGCAATTGTATCTGACTTAATTCTTACCTTCTTACAGCCAGTGGCGGAATAAGTCTTCTTGGGGCCCGGGGCAATTTTAGTTTTTGGAGGCTTTTTTATGGGCCAGAGCCTAAAAACAACCAAAAAAAAAAATCAAAAATTCCGTAAAAAATTCTGGTCTTTAAAATTTTAGTTTTTTACAAATAGTCGCGCAAAAATTGTTTTCAAGAAAAACAAAATTTGAAGACCAGAAACTTGTACGGAATTATCAATTCGCTATCACTTAATTCGCCCCTTGAAAAGAAACAAGAGTATGAAAAAAAAACTAGTAAACGCTTACATACAGTTTAATGCATAAAAGCAATTTAAGTAACGCACAATAACATTTTAATTGATGCATTACAAAAGTTTTTTAATGCACACAAAACAGTTTAATAAATGCAGTTACAGTTTAATTGATGCATGATAACAATAGTAAATGCATAGCAACAGGTTAGTTAATACATACTAACAGTTAAATTAATGCATAATACAGATCTAATATAAATACCTTTTTTTAGATTTTACTTTCTCAGTTATAATTTTTTAATCTAATATTATTTTTATTCAGATTATTTAGGCCGATTTTCCCTCTAAATTAAAAGTAAATTCTCTGAAATTACGTGAGAACTTACAACAGTTGTTCACATGACCGGAGTCCCTAAAACTAGAAATAAATTAATAAAACTTTTGTTATAAAAAATCATTGTCATTAAATAAATAGTCTGGCTAGTTAAAAAGCGCAGTTGTTCATCTAACTGTTAGCTTTTTTTAGAACCCAGTGCACTTTATTTGTAAACAAAAAACGTGTTAAGAAAGCTATTTAAAAGGGCATTTTTGTTTTTTTTATGGTTATTACAAATGCCTGGTCTAACTTAAAATTTTAATTTATGTCTAAAATATCATTTTTGTGTTGGAGAAGTTTAACATTATTATAAAAGATAGAATAATTTATAAAAACACATCGCAGTGGGCATGCGTTGTCCGGGGGAAGTCGTAGGTATCGTATCATATCGTATCGTAGGTATAGTATCGTTCAACATACATACCCCGGACAATGCATGCCCACTGGGACTGTTAAAAAACTGTTTATTTTTAAGATTTGATTTTTTATTTGCAAAAATTAATACAATGCAAACATTTTATATGCAAATCCAGTTTCAAACTATTGCTATATCCTTCATTGCTATATCTTTCCTTATATTCATTTATTACCAAAGAAAATGCATCAGTTTTTTTTTAAAATCTCTAAAGAGATCAACTTTTTCTTCTATAACAGATGAAGTAAGTAATGTTAAATTTTATAAATCTCTATTTGGGAATTGGAATATGTAAAAAAATATTTGTAAAAACTTAAAAGAAATATATTAGCAATACTTTTATAAAACTATATATATATATATATATATATATATATATATATATATATATATATATATATATATATATATATATATATATATATATATATATATATATATATATATATATATATATATATATATATATATATATATATATATATATATATATATATATATATATATATATATATATATATATATATATATATATATATATATATATATATATATATATATATATATATATATATGTATGTATATATATTCATTTCAAAGTTAAATTTAAAGATTTGCTCAAGAAAGTGTTTTATCATTCTTTATTTTCTTAATGATAAAAAACAATTGAAAATGTTAATGATGACATCTGATGATAATGACAAGATGTGGAAATCTGATAAAGTAGATGAGTATATAGTCATCAAAATAAGAACTCAATATTGAGTTCGTATGTGGGGCTCCTATCGAACATTTTTCGTCTGACATTTAAAGTTGTTTGAAGCATTTTTATCTTTAGTAGCAGTATAAGAACCACCAAAATCAGGGATTGGTTTAAGCATTCGTGGCGTAATGGTTAAAGCACTTGCTTAGCAAGCAAGAGATCCAGGGTTTGATCCGAGCTCTGGGCATATTTTGCATAATCATTTAGAAAACAGAAGTGAACTTCCAAGTTAAATGTTCTTTGGCAGTGCTTTTTGACAAGACCGGAATTTTTTTTTGGAATGCCAAAAGCAAAAAATTTTGAAAAAAAAAAAGAAAGCAATTATGTCGGCGCTCGTCATTTGGAAAATAATAAGTTAAAATAATAAATAAGCACAACTGGCCAGACTATTTGCTTATATGACTGTTTTAAAAAGTTTTTTTTTTTTTCCAAATCAACGTTTGCGTTAAAACCGATTAACAAACATATTCGCTGTTAAAGGTTTTTTTTATTTAATTTTAAATTCAATTTTGTGCTTAATTCAACACTCGCTTGAATAATTTATTATTTTTTAAAAAGATAAACTATTATCATAAGTTATTTACAAGGACTTATGATAAGAATTTTGATCAACTTTGACAAGCTTGCCTTATCGAAATAAACAACTATTTAATCTCGTTAAATAAAAAAAAGAGCTAAATAAATAAAATATTAAAAGTAGACGGTATACTTAAAAATAAAGATTAATATAATATAAAATATATAGAAAGTTTATTTAAAAAAAAAAATACTAATTATAGATAAAACACAAAAAGTAGATAAATAAATTAAAAAAATGAAGCTCAAGAGATTTCAAAAGTTTAAGAAGGTTAAGTCGAAAAAAGTTGCAATATTGATGATTTCAAATCTAATAATTTAGATAACGAAAAAAAAATTTTAAAAAGTTTTATTAAAATTTTAAAACATCATTTTTAATAACTTCTCAAGAATATTGTTTATTAAGCTAAATAATATATACGAAAATAAATTTTTGAACGAGGTCTTGAATATTATTATACTTAAAATTTTCTTATATAACAGGTATTTTGAAATCCTACTACTAATTGCGTGCGATTAAAAATTTCACCAAATCTAAAATTTTTTGCTAGGAGCCGACTGAAGCATTCTTATGATAAATGGTCTTGTTTTTAATTGTCTTTTTTGATAAAATTTGTTGTCTCTGCGTAAAACTGGCAACAGAGACAAAAGAATTTGGTGTTTAATATTGTATCAGAAGAACCGCTTTATAAACAAGTTTAAACTTTTTTGGTATCGCAATAAACGTTATTTAGTGGCTGCAGAATGTGTGATAAACGAGCTGGTAAGGAAAATGATAAAATGTATTTGATATAATTTGATTTTATTGTATTGTATAACAAATGTATTTGATAAAACTATTATACAACTATTCTGCTTAGAGCTTATAACGCTGAGAGTTTCGCGACCATTTTTTAAACAAAGAAAAAATTTACGCGTCCGAGTTTTTATGAGTTAATCAAAACAAAGCATTTATTTTTATTAAAATTTTATATTATTTTATTCAGATAAAATAGTATAAAATTTAAAAAGATTTACTACAACGCGATTGAAAACTATTTGCGAAAAGTTTATTTATTAATTAATTAAGAGTAAAAATATTAACATTGTCAAAACGCAATTTTCGCAATTTCCTTTTTATTCATTTTAGTGCGTTTAATGAATTTAACTTAATAATTGTAAACTAAAAAAGATAAAGAAATTTCTTTTTTTGTGGATTTAGTTTTGAATAATCATGGCGTTAATTTTTGTCCAAAAATCTCCCGATTGCTAAGTTTGCCCGTGTTTGCACAGTCATAGTAAGTGAAATGTGAAAATAGCTATAAAATTTTAATAGACAATCAATATCAAAAGTTTTCTGCAAGTGGTTTCTATCGGTACAGACATTTTGCGCTAAATTTGTATTTTATTTATAAGAAAACAAGCGTATGTATCATATCGTATGTATCAGGTCTACACACCTCATCCTACCATTTATTAATTATATCTTAAATTAGTTATATCTCACTAATTATATAAGTAAAAAAAAATTCTAATTTTAGAATTTAGTAATAAACAAGCATTAAACAATCTCCAATTATAATTTAAATAAATTATAAATTTAATAAATAATTATTAATTAATATTTAAATAAAATATAAGTTTAATATTATAAATAAATTTAATTAATGAAAAAAATAAGAGGCAAATTTTTCTTAGAACTTCAGAAAATAATTTTCTCTGGTGACCAAACCACTGCAGTTTTGCAACTAATATTTTGTAAGCTTCAAGTAGAATGGTAGAAGATTTG